TTCTTATAAAGGATAACAATTGATTTTATTTAGTAATTATTATAACAGCTAAACTAAAAATTTTATTTTTATTTTCTTTTATTACTGGATTGCTGAACCGCAATTTTTCAATTTTGATTAGAATGTTAGAAAAAAAATCGACAATTCAACATGTTTTCTAAAGAAATTATGCGATAACATAACGTATGACTAGTTTTTTGAAATGAATATTGTAAATAACTGAATTTGCACTAATATTATGCACTAAGACTTATACTTATGCTAATATACTTTTGTAATGTTAAATTAGAAATAAAAGTAACGCAATCGGAAATTTTTTGCATGCAGTAGATTTAACGAAAGAGAAAAATAAATATATGTGTTTGTATGTATTAAAATTATACATCTATTCGAAACTCGAAATTCAATTATAAAATATGTAATTGAAAAAGTGCGAGGTGTATTCAATAGTTAATGAATAAAAAAGAATTTATATAATAAATATGATTTACTTAATTAATCTAATGTATTAAAACAGAACTCTACATGAGCGACAAAAAAAACCTTTGGCATTTTTTTCGATAATTAATTCTAAGTATAATGTAGCAAAAATTACAAAATGTATGGAATTTAAAGTAAAATTTTCACAAATTGTATTAAATTATTCCAATTTGAACATTTTTTATGAAGCGGTTCTTGTTTTTTTTTTTTTTTTGGTAAGAGTATTACGTTGATTACCTGCATTACCACATGAACTTTCAATATTTCTCCTTCAAAACCTCTCCCAAATTAAGAAGTAGGTCACAAAAAATGTTTATTATAACTTAAAGACAAACAAAAATTTTTAAAAGTTTATTTTGTATTACGTTTTTATTACGCAACGTTATAGTAGGTCAGTTTGCTTTGAATTATTCGATTTAAAGTGTGACCGTAAATTTATTATTACTGATCTAAATAATAATTATAACTTTAAAAAATTTATATATTTTTATTGCGATAACACGAAATTCCGCCCTTTTTATTGAGTATACCCATATATAGGAAAGCATAACATTTCTACTGATACAAAATTAAAAATATGTAGTTTTTTTTGCATTTTCACCAAGATTTGTTAGAAATTTTGACTTTAAAAATAGTAAAAATAATAGCTGCATTTTTTAGCACTTTTCCAAAAATTTTTTGAAAAAAAGTGCTTATTAGTTTCACTCTGTCCGTCGGTCCGTCCGTCCGTCCGTCCGTCCGTCCGTCCGTCCGTCCGTCCGTCCGTCTGTCCGTCCGTCCGTCCGTCCGTCCGTCCGTCCGTCCGTCCGTCCGTCCGTCCGTCCGTCCGTCCGTCTGTCCGTGTGTCTGTTTACAAAACTTCTACATTCTTAAAGATAGAAAGCTGAAATTTAATACGTACATAGATCTTTACTAGAAACTTATTTTCGTAGAACAAAATTTTTACCTATCTCCCCCCCTCTAGAAGTTATACCCCCCCAAAGCACTAAAAATGGCCTATTTTAACTATTTGTTGCAATGAAACCATAAGCATTTTTGAAATTTTGCAAACGCAGAAGGGCAGTGACTTGCTTCCCCTACCGCGGTATACTATAGTTAAACTTTAGAAAAACAAAATGGCCGTTCAAATTTACCGTTATCTAAAGTCCTTTTTTTCCAAATTTTTCATGTCTTTTTTCTTCTAGACCCCAGCCTGTAGAAGCTTGAAATTTTAGGAGCTTTTAGACATTAATAAGTAGTTTATTTCGTTAGAAGAAAATTTTTTTCCATCTCCACCCCCTCTCAAGTTATGGCCTCTTGAAATTTGTGAAATATGCATTTTTGACACCTTATATTTCTGAAACCGCAAGTTTTTTCAAATTTCTATAAACGCAAAAAGTTAACAGTAAATTCCATGAAATTAAAAAATATAATTATTTTTCTTAACTCACACAATTAACCCTTAAAATCGAGCATTATGTTAACCCCTGTTTATATTAAATTTTGCTTTATTTCAAAGACTGCATAAATGGTTCACCCTAAATATATGCAATCCTAGAAATAGTTTATAAATGAAAATAATTTGAATAGTGTGGTGGATATACATAGACTGTTTTTAAAAGCAGTATTTTCACTTGTTTAAGGGAAAAGTGCTGCAATACAAACCATTGGTTTGACCTAACTTTATTTAAACGGTTTTTCATTGAATAATTTTTTACTTAAAAATATCTTTCTCAATATTTAATTTTAAGGATTTTTTTATACAAACTTTTGTGAAAGTAAATATGAAAATAATTTTTTAATGACAAAATATAGGTTTCCCAGTTATGACAAAATTTTCACAATTAAAATTTGTGTGTTTCGTAAGCCTCAATATCAAATGTAATTTGCCAACTCAATTGAATTTTTCTTTTGTCTTGGGTATTTTTTATAAAATTTTAATACTTATGTATGTCAATTGCAAAAAGTGGCCAAATTGAAGATAATTGTCATTTGTAAATCAAGTGCTTGATATAATGATTGCTAAATTTCAAATACACTGGGGAACAACCTGTTAGTAATAAGATGAAAATAGATATCGAGAAATATGAAAAATATGTAGCGTGTAATAGTTATGCTGTGATATAATACTTATATATCTAAAAATTAAGTTGTAATAATTAGTAATAATTAGTAATAATTGTATGCAATAATTGAAATATTTAAAATCTAATAAGATATCAAATTATATTTTTCAAAAATAAATTTAGGTCTTAGTAACATTAAACAAAAAAAAATTGACTTAAATTAAACTGAAGTTTTTATTTTTCCAAACAATTTTGGTGAATTCAAGACCTCATTCAAGACTTTCGTTTTTTAAGTAAATTTTCAATTCAAAAATAATCAAACGCTGTTCATCAATTCATTTTAAACAACAATGTCTATGAAATTGTATTTTCAAATTAAAAAAACATGGTATAAAGTAAAATTAAAATAAAAGTAGAGTTATTTTTTGTCTATGGAATTGAGTTCAATATTATTACTATGAATTGGAAATGAAACACTTTAGAATTAAATAAGAAGAAATAAAATAAAAATAAAATTTTAAAAAATAATAAAGTTTTTTATTTGAAACAAAATTTTAGATTTTTTAGATTTTCCTTTACAGTTAGTTATTTTTATGGATTTGCATTTTGACAAAAATTTTTGTTTTCGAAAACATTTTGTTGGAATGAAGAAGAAATTTTTTGGATAATAAACATCTAATATCCATCCAACCTTCTACTTTCCGGAGACTTTCTTTAGAAAGGCCAACTTAAAAAGTTGGGTCAAACCAATGGTTTGTATTGTAGCACTCTTCCATTCAACAAGTGAAAATTCTGCTTTTAAATACATTCTATGTATACCTATCACACTATTAAAATTATTTTCATTCATATACAAAACTATTTCTAGGATTGCATATATTTAGGATGAACGATTTGTGCAGTCTTTCAAATAAAGCAAAAATTAATATAAAGTGGTGTTAGCATGCGATTTTAATGTTTAATTGCATGAGTTAAGAAAAATAATTATATTTTTTAATGTCATGGAATTTACCGTTAACTTTTTTCGTTTATAGAAATTCGAAAAAACTTGCGGTTTTGGAAATATAGGGTGTCAAAAATTCAAATTTTACATATTTCAAGGGGCGATAACTTGAGAGGGGGTAGAGATGGAACAAAATTTTCTTCTGACAAAATGAACTATTTGTTAATGTCTAAAAGCTCCTAAAATTTCAAGCTTCTACAGGCTGGGGTGTAAAAGAAAAATGACATCAAAAATTTGGAACAAAAGGACTTTAGATAACGGTAAATTTGAACGGCCATTTTGTTTTTTTCAAGTTTAACTATAGTATACCACGCTAGGGGAAGCAAGCCGCTGCCTTTCTGCGTTTGCAAAATTTCAAAAATCTTTAAGGTTTCATTGCAACAAATAGTTAAAAAAGGTAATTTTTATTGTTTTGGGGGGGTATAACTTCTAGAGGGGGGGAGATAGATAAAAATTTTGTTCTACGAAAATAAGTTGCTAGTAAAGATCTATTTATGTATAAAATTTCAGCTTTCTATCTTCAAGGGTGTAGAAGTTTTGTAAACAGATACACGGACAGACGGACGGACGGACGGACAGAGTTAAACAAGTTTAAAAAGAAGATTGACAAAAAGAAAACGTTGGCAAAACTTGTGCATCAGAAAAGAAATTTTTCGGTCTTGCAAACGAATATAGTACAATCTGATGGCACAACATTTTTTAACGAAGCGTATGTGCTACATGCTATAAAAATATAAAGATTTAAAAAATTAAAAAGAATTTCATTCTCAAGTGATAAATTAGATTTTCGCAACAATAACTTTTTCTGATTTTTAACCTCCTTAAAATAATCTAGTCGTAGTATCTCAATATGTATTTATTGTTAAATTTAAATAATTTAATTTTAATTTATTTTTATTGTGAAAAATTTTATTTTTTACGTTCCTAAAACAGAATTCTTTACGCAATTCAAATATGTATCGTACTTTTAGACACAACTAATGATATTTTGTACAGCTCAGTCATGTTTTTGCCGTCCGCCACCGGTTTAAACTTTTTTTATGCTGAATAACTAAACTTAAATTTTTATCGCAATCAAAGTTCTCATTAGTATTCATCTCATAAACACCATATTCCAGTCACGTACTTAAACAAGAACAAAACATATGCGTACTACATTTACATTTGTTAAAGTAAAATAAATTCTATAATAACATAATTTTTTCAACAGATTGATTATGTTAATATTATTAAATTTAACAATAATGCGAAAAAGTGAAGTACAGAAGAGCAATAAGGATACTTACTGAATTAAGATTATTAATTCTTAATCCATAATTATTGCACACACGAATTTTTAATCTCATATCGCTACTGGAAAATCTTCTTAAGTATTTATAGGCATATATATATTTACGATTTCAAATAATGTAATGTTTTCCATTCCAGAGCTCAGATCTTGTCGACATATAACTCGTGGATGCAGGTTCTTCTGAAAACGCAGTATGCGTACGCATTTCTAACTTAAAACTAAAAAAACTTTTTCGCATTGATTGACAACTGCAAAAAATTGTCATTTGTTTTGTCGTAGTAAAAAAGTTCTTGCAAATCTTTATCTAAGTCATATTTGAAAATGCAGTTCTACCAATAGTACAAAATTGAAGTTGTTATTTTTTAGACATAAAAAATGGATTTAAGGAAAAAATTAATTAAAAATTATAAATTCGAATATCTTACAGAAGCAAATCGAGATAAGAGTTTAAGAAATTTTATTAGAAAGAAAAAATCGCGTAATATGGTACTTTTAATGTACATTCAAAAGTATAACAAAATGCTTATTCCTAAAGTTGCGAATTATATGAAAGTAATAAGTTTGATGCCGAATCATATATATTTTTCATACTTTAGGATGGAAAAGGATTGTTTTACGGTAATGTTTTTAATTAAATATGATATGCGTGGCATACTTTATGTTTAGAAATTATTGAAAGACTTGCAACCTCAGTGGCACACATCAAAATATGGTAGACCATCAATACCATTAGATTTAGCACTTTACATAACCATTTGGTTTCTTGGCAATAAGGGAATTTGTTACCGTGATATTTCGAATAGATTTAACGTTTCTTTATATGCTGCAAATGAGTCAGTGAAAAAAGTTACAAAAATGATTTCCAATCTAAGTACAATAAAATGGCCGAATCATGAGCAACATAATGTAATCATAAATAACTTCAACCGAAATAAGAAGTTTCCAAATATTGCTGGTGCAGTTGATGGAACCCATATAAAAATTGTTCCGCTCACATTAGAACAGAAAAGTTATTATAATCGGAAAGGGTTCTACTCAATTTTAATGCAAGTAGGTCTATTTATTTTAATATGTTAGAAAATTTCTAATAAGATATTTTTTTAAGGCGATTTGTGATTCGAACTTCAGGTTTCTTGATGTATTCATAGGATGGCCTGGGCGAGCACATGATACATCTGTCTGGCATAAGAGTCCTATTGGTAAAGCCCTTAAAGAAGGTACACAAACTCTCCCAAACAACAGTCATTTGGTAGGGGATTGTGCATATCCTCTCCATACCTACTTAATGACACCATTTAAGGACTACGGAAAACTTACAGAGAAGCAAAGGAAATTTAATTATTATTTGAGCTCGCAACGTGTTCATATTGAACAATCCTTTGGTATTTTAAAACAAAAGTTTAAAATTTTAGATTTTATAAACTGTAGAGACCTATGCCAAGTTAAGTACATTGTTATGGCATGTGTAACTTTACACAATTTTATAATAGATAACAGTAATGAAAGACTGGATGAAATTATATATGCAAATTATGAAGAAGAAAGTGATGTATTTGCAGATAATGTCGATGAACACGATATAGAAGCATCTACTAAACGAAATGAACTTTGTGAAAAAATTTGGAATATGTAAATTTGTTTTGAATATTTGAATTGAATTCAATAATAATATTGTTTTTCTTAAAATTTATGTTTTATTTTTGTATTTCAATCAGTCATAAACAAAAACTTAAAAAAAAACTATTAAGTAACTTAATTTGCGATTTCACAGCTTTATATTCACAGTATTAAAAAAATATGTAAGCACATATACACATACATATATGAACAAGTTTGTACCATTTTCCTTATTAAGGTACATAATTATTAGACCCATCAGACATTTCTTTTAACAACTGAAGCTTTTGTTTTTCAATTTCTAATTTTTGTTGCTCAATTTTTATAAAATCTTGATGACGTTTTTCTTCCTCTTTTTCAAATTTTTCCAAAAATAGGGTAATTTCACTTTTTCTTTTTTTTCGCGGTGCCACATTTTCTGATACATCTATATGATTAGGGTTATTATTTTCAGACTCTTCTAATATTGATATATCTCCAGCTACTTCGTTACTTTCCAAATTCAAAGAAGATATCAAATTTTGTTCCGGCGGTGAAATAACGTGAGTAGTTCCATATATTCTATCAAATGTTTCATAATACTCCCAATGAGTCCTACTGTTTCCAGATTCCTTATTACGATTTTTTACCCTTTTGTATGTAGTAAATAAATTATTAAATTTTTTACTACATTCATCGACGGTGAAAGGAAAATTTTTATCAACATTTTTGATTTTCCGAAGACATAGACGCCATAACACACTCTTTTTCCTTTTTTTTCACTAAAACACTTTTCATCGTCCAGTCTCATTTGAATTAAAAATTTAATTTTTGCACTATCCCAAAATCTTTCTTCTTGTAAATTCCTTAAATTATTAGAATTTATTTATTTACAGTAAGTAGAAAAAAAAAAAAAAAACTTACGCTAATAAATCTTCTATATCATCATCGTCCATCTTGCTTAATATTCAATTTAAGTTAGCGCAGTTAGAAAATTAAAAATGCGATGTTGCGTGAAGTTTCTGAAATATCTTAATTGCAGTTGTAGTTTTCAAAATGGCTGCTACTGCAGTTCTGAATTTTTAAAAACACTGCTTTGTAGTTGAAGCAGTTCTTATTAAACAAATGTGCTGCAATTTAGTACTAAGTTAGAACTGCATTTTCAGATAGTACCTGCGCTCAATATTTTTCAACATTTCTTAAACCAAACTTACTTCTTCAACACCCTCTCCGGATTTAGCTTCCACAGTAAAATTTTTCCCAGATCTAATTAATCCTAAAGTGGAGATTGAGAAATGCTGCATTTCTCGCACGTAAAAGAGGCAAATAAAGTACAGATACAAGACGTATTGGGATTGATTTTTACAGATTTTACATTCCAAATATTTCTGAGGTCTTTCAATTTTTTGTTACACTTCATACATTACATATTTATTGTTATTGTTTTTTTTTATTTAATTAGAAGTTCTTTTACTTTTTTTAAAGATTTTTATCGAATTATAAATTTGTAAAATAAGGTTAAGCACTTTTTTCCTTTTTTTTTTGGTTTTAAGTTAAAGTTACTAAGACTAATTCATATCATTATCAAATCATTGGCAAATAATTCAACTGATTTTCTTTGGAGTTCTAGTTTAGCCACATTAAAAGCCTATGATCCTTTTTTATTGTAAATCTAACACTATACAGATACGCTCTAAAATATTTTGTAGATCATATAAATGCTAACAGTTCCTTTTCCATAATACTGTAGGGAGTCTCACGATCATTCAATGCTCTATTTGCAAATGAGATCGGATTTTCATTTTGCAATAAAACAGCTCCGATTGTATAATCGCTTGCATCACTAGTCGTGGTAAAAATGTGATTAAAATTTGGGTATTTTAAGATTGGACCGATAATTTCTTTTTGTTTTTTAAAAGCAGCAATATATTTTGGATTATTAAAGTCAATTTTACAATCCTTTTTAAGGAAATATATTAAGGGTTGCGCAATTTTTGCGTAATTCCTTATAAATTTGTCATAATATCCTATTATTGCTAAAAAGCTTTTTATTGATTTATGTGAATTTGGAAGTTTCAGGTTTTTAATGGATTCAGTTTTTTTCAGAATTTTACGTGATTCCTTTGTTTTTGAAAAATATTTGTAATAACATTCTCATGCTCTCGAAGAGAGGTACCGAAAATAAGTATATCAAGCAAAACATAATTAATCATTTCTTGAAATATTGCAGGAGAATGGTTAAAACCGAATGGCATCTTGGCGAATTCATAATGTCCCTGAGGAGTTTAAGAGTTGTTTTGGATTGATAACCACTATTTTTTTCCTGAAATTCCTCAAGTTACCTCAACAAAAGATTTTGCATTTTCTCTTGTAAAATTTCTTCTACATTTTCGTCTTTGAAGATATACTTATGTGCAAGGGCGTCTTTTGTGAGAAAATCGAAAAAACTAGTTTTAATATTTTCAGTCGATCAACCGATCGCTTTATTGACAAAAAATGAACTCAACTTTATTGGTTTTACAAAAATTTAAAACGTTCTTAAAAATTACAAAAATTACACAAAACAAAAAAAAATACTTTTCTTAATTTAGAACACATTACAAAATTATCGTTAATTTTGCTTGTCTTTAAAATACCACTTATAATAATAATTTTTAAAATATTTGGAATACTTACTCAATATGCAAACCAAATGTTAATCATTATTTATTATTAGTCATTCTCATTACGCATTGTATCGTATTTTAGGTTTAACACAATGTAAGAACAATAATAATAAAAAATGTAAAATGAAACATAAACGATTTTTAAGTGTGTCGTTCTTTCACACATTAATGTAATTGTTCCAAGCAATAACTTTTGTTTTGAAATACTCGTATGATATGAGATATGAAAAATTATTTAAAGGAAGAAAAGAAAAAAAAATAAAAAGAAAGAAAGTACTGATTGAATCTTTTTGAGTTTATTATAATTGTAGTGGGTAATCTAAAAGAACAATATTTGTGTTATTATTATTCTTATTAGGGTTTTCAGTATTTTGAGTGGATGGAGATGCAACTCCTCTTCCCTTAAGATTCGACTCCTGGCGAATACATTTTAGTTCAACGTTTGTTTTAGAATTTCCTACACATGGTTTCCTGCATAAAATTATTATTACAATAGAAAATGTTAATAGAGCGAAAATACCACTTTTGGCATTGGTGGTAACGTTCGTATACCACCTCCAAGTATTATCAGCTTTTATTTCTTGAATATGCTTTGTATTATTAACATGACTATAGTACAAATGTTCTAAATGGATTTCCTTGACAATTTTGTCAATAGTAATATTCCGATCTACATAAGGTAAAATTTTATTATAATATTCTGTTTCAAGATATTCAAATCGCATATAGTTAATTGAAATTTTACAGTTTGTAAATTTGATAATATTATTTCCTTTAATGGGAATTTCTTGTGGATTTTGTCCACAATTATTAAATAGCAGTGTTTTATTCAAATTTTTTGTAATTACTACTGTATCTGATAATTTTTTTATTTCTGGTAAAGTATTTTCCTGAAAGTGACATTTCATTTGGTTTGTATTAAGCAAGTTTGAAATACATTCATCCTGAAATGATATTAAATCTTTTTTCATTATTTCTTTTTTTTCTACATTTTTAAAAATATTTTGCATGTTATTATTTCATTTATATTAGTATTAAGTTCTAAGAAATTATTCTTATTAGCAATTTTTTCAACAATGGTTTTAAAACAAGTTTCTTTAATAAATTTTGGAATAAACAAAACAAAAATAATTGTATTTTCTTTAAAAAGCACACAATTTTGAATAAAAGGTAACATTTCAATTGTAAAGTTTTGAACTTTTATTTCCTCTTGTGTTATAATGTTTTTTGATAAAATTTCCAATTTGCTTGCAAGAATAATTTCTTTAATATCAGAAATTTAATATTTTCATTTATTTCTGTTTTAATTATAAACAATTTTAAATCTTCATTAATTTTATTAACGCTATTTCTAATTTTATCAATTTCATTATTAATTTTATTTTGAGCTAGATTAACATGGTTGGTTATGTTTTTAACCTGGTCTGAAATTTGTTTATTTATAGACACTTGATCATTTAAATTATTTATTATCTGAGCGTTATTTTTTTCAATAAGATCAAAGTGTTCTTGAATTTCTTTTCTATCATTATTATCCATTGTTCCGGTTAAGAAACGTAAACCACTTCCAATCATATTTATTAACCTTCTTTTAGCGACATGATGCGGTATGATACTATTGAAATCTTCCTTTAATCGTTTTAAATTATGAAGGAGAGAATTAGGTATTTCGGTTTGTTCATACAACCGTATAATGTTAAATTCTATTTTGTAAATACTTTCTTCATATGAAAAAAAATTAACCACATGCATTATTCGCTTATAACTATGAATATTATTTGGCAAAAAAATTTTTTTTAAAAAAATTTCTCAGAGCATGTAAAAAATTAGGTATGAATGAATGAAATTTAAAATTTTTTGAAATTTTATAATATGAGGGTTGTATGGGTTAGGTAGAGGGTGGTTTGATATTGTAAATGGGGTGATTTGAATTTTATATGAGGAATGTATATGGGTGGTTGGAGATTGTATATAGGTGGTATATGATATGGGTGATTTGAGGTTTATATATGGGTGCTTTGAGTTTTATATGAGGATTGTGTGCTGTTGGTTATAGTATTTTATTCAAGTATATTTTAGATAGAAGAGGAAAAAAATTGGATAGTATTACAGAATTGAGATATGGTTTACGATGTATACATGCATATTTAGAAGGTTGATGTTTTTGTTGCTGGGAGGCGGATGCTAGACTGGCGGCGGCTTTGGGTTACAACGGCAACACTCAACAATGTGTTTTTTTTTTGTAGTTATACTATGGGGTTTCTGTTACATATTTTACGTTTTCCCGTCGGCAAATGGAAAAAATTCTAATATCGAAAAAAAATTCTAATATTATGGGGTTTCTGTTACAAATTTTATATTTTCCCGTCGGCAAATCGTTAATTCTTATGGAAAAATTGATATGGACTCATTTTTTTTTAAGAAAATGCATCCAATAGTTGTTGGTTATACTATTTTATTCAAGGTCTTTTTATTTTTTGTTGTTTTTCTAAAATAATGTATGAAAATCGTACATTTTTGGTAATTGTACCCTATCGAGTTTTTAAAAATGCGAAATAAAAAGTTTTGAGATAAGAAAAATTTCTGCGTTTTTCTTCAAAAAATTTTTTCAGTTTTTTATAAGAGATAAGAAATTTTATTAAAACTGTACAGTATATGTAGAGAATGAGGGAATTAAAAAATTAAATGATATTATAATGCTGAACATGAAAAATTACGTCAGGGGGTTCCCTATAATAAGAAAAGTATTATAACATGATGAACATAATCACATATCACTTATATTTGATGAAAATGTGTCACTATATAAAGTTTTTCTATAGCCTAGAGGTAAGAAAAAATTCTGTAATGGGTATAAGGTAAGTATGGAATTAAGTTTAGTTCAATTTCAGCCATAGTCAT